GAGTTTATATATTACTTCGAACTGCCTGCTATACTATCGAGTTTATAGACTAACCTAAACATTTGAAAGTCTTGCTTTTCTTTTCCCCATTCCAAGTCCGCCAGTCTCTTGTTTGGATTTCCAGTCCTAGCCCTTCCTCTCCTGTTCACAGTTACTGTTTACTTTATTTATGGATTATCATTATTATTATTTTGGTTGGTGAGGAAATATAGAACGGATCTGATATGGAATAAAAGGTTTGCCCATTAATCCCGTATATGTACCTTTCCTTCCATTCTATCACCTAGACTAACTGTTAGCTTCATTATATTATTCATTTCTTTTCTTCGACATTCCTTATTTACTCTCTCAAACAAGATGGCTGTATGGGGAAACAATATGGTAATTGGCTCCAATTTTGAACGCATGCAATTGCAATTGTCTGGTCACGTTACTTAGAAGGTATATTTATTGTTGATCATCTGAAGGTGCTAAAATGTGAGAAGGGTGATTGTTGAATTCTCATCAGTTTTTGAATTGCTCAAAATGTTCAGCTGGAAATGTAAAATCTCCCCCCTAATAATAGACTGGTGATTGTTATTTATTCAAGTCAAACTACGCGATACGTGTCGTGTGTGTATGTATTATATATATACATATATATTCTCTCATAACTACTGTGTCTAAGTAAGCCATTTTTTGTTTCTTAAGGTTCAAGGTGTTGTTAAAGAGAACCTAAATAAACACGAATTGACCAGGCCACTCGCAACTAGAGAATTGGAATGGTTTGCGGTATGCATTTTATGTTACTCAACATGATTTTTCCCCCCTTTTTTCTTTTTCTTCCATACCCTTTCATCTTTCTAACATTGAAGTCCGCTTAAAATGCTGCAGGCTTCTGCTTTGTTGGCTCTTCCTATTATTCTGTTGTTTAATATGTGCTCTGCCATTTTCTGGTCAGTATCATACATACAGTTCTATGTCGATACAACTGCAACTACTTTTCTTAGTTCTTCCATTGATCTTATGAAATCTCTCCCTCTCTCTCTATATATGTATTGAAAAACAGTTCTTTCTTATGTATGCATATAATACTCAAGTTTCCTTGTCACTTGCAGGAAAAAAACAAAGAAACCTACTCGAAACACTGCCCACCATGCACGTCGTAAGGGTAAAAGGGGGCATCCCGACAAGTAGAATGGCAGCATCGTGTTATTTGTCAAGCTCAGTGGGATCTATTTGAGGTTTGATTCGATCATTCCTAAATCTAAAAGTAATATTCTATGTATAGCACAATCTTCGTCATCTGAATCTGTTTTTGTTTGCGTTCAATCGTTTGCCGATGCAGTTCACACGGGGGCTTTCGTGGTTATTGTATGTCTTCTTGGCCATAAACTAATAATTTAAGTTTTGTTTTCCTTTAAGATGTCCTGCAGCATATTTTTTGATCTTTTGTGCTAGCATTTTAGACCCCTTGTTCTGTTATTCCTGTATAGTTTTATCAGGAGATAGCCAGAGCCGATAGCCTATTCAAGTTAATGTAAAAATAGGACTTTGCTTAATTTTATTGGAGTCGTTTGCATTTTTCTACCCAACTACCAACTCTTAGATTAAACACATGTAACATTATTTCTCTATAAGAAAACTTATCTCGATTTCCATTTGGGTTTATGTCTTTGATCTGTAATGTTATTGCGCTTTCTTCGATTTTTTCCTTCCCGTTGCTAATAGACGTATTCGCAAAATTGTTGTTTAACTGTCCATCTAAGCTTAGTAGAAGCGGTGCACAGACTCAACTGATTAAGGTATTTATCATCGACCAAAAGGTGAACTTTATAGTTTTGACCAAAAATGTCACGTTTTTGCATCGAACTTGAGGAACGAGGTCTCAATTCTCTGCTTTCTTTAATATTTCATATTGCCTCTGAAAATCTCTTTAGCACTGATCAACCCTCACAGGTTACAGCCCAAGAGCCCTACTATGGCTAGAAAATTTTTAATCGATCCATTAGTTTGAAGGCTATTTGGTCTCCAATAGTGGCTATGGTTGATGGTCAATGATGGCTACCGTTTATCCAATTCAAAGATTCTTTTCTGAAAATTTGGAAATTCGTTTTGGCTTTCTCTTTGACTCTCTTAATATTCCAATGGCCATGCCGACATCTCTAACTCCCTCAATCCTAGAATAAAACCACATTAAATTATTTGAACCATTTAATTGTTTTGACCGGTAAAATTAGTCTTTGAACTCATCGTTTTACTTCAATTAACCTCAAGCCTCTGAGGTTTCCGGGATCTAATTTTTTTTCTTGGTTAGAATTTGTTCTATTTTAGTTTATATACTTTCAACAAATCTTTAAAATAATTACTTAGTTTATGATTTATCACTAATATATTTACTAGAATGTAGGTCGAGTCAGTCTCCTCCAACTACTCAGATCACATAAAAGTTTGAAAATATGTTCACATTACATCTTTTTGTTCATCAAAATTCTTGTCATTATTCAATCGATTTCAGTAATTTAACTTCAAAGGACTCATTTTAAAATTTAAGATTAAATTTGGGCATTTGAACCTAAGTAAAGTAATATAAATATTATATATATATATTAACCATTATTTTCTTTTCTACATAATATTTAAATATACTTAGCTGGAAAAAGCAACACATTATATATATAGATATATATATGTGTGTATGTATATATATATATATCTATATGTATGTATGTATGTATGTATGTATGTATATGTATCTATACTTATGTATGTATGTATGTATGCATACAGGAAAAGCAGAATCTTGAGAGATTTCATAACGAATTGTACAGAGCATCTTACTTTGCTTACAGCAAAAGCAAAGAATTAACTTTTAAAACGTTCAATATTTTGTAACAAAGTGTTCTTTTCTTCTTCCTTCGAAAGAAAAATAAGAACCGAATAACAAAAACAGTCCTATTGAAACAAACACATAATAATCACAGTATAGGACTGAACCAAAACTCCAAATCACAATCCGATCATTGGAAGTTCGAAAATGGATAAATAAAATTTCAATCCAACAATCTGAAGCTCCTGGAGACGATGGATGGATCCGCAAAACGAGCAGAGAAGGATCTGCAGAGATCATCAGGATCAGAGCCCCAATTTTCTTGTTCAAAATTCAACCGATAAGCATTTGGATTATACGAAGAACGCAATTCAACTGAAGAACAACTGAAGATTCTTCTCTTCTCCTTCTTGAATTTCTGCCACAAAATCTGCCATCCGAAGAGCCGTTTGCTTTCTTGTTCATTCGAAGACCCACAGCTTTGACCTAACCTGATGCTTTGGCTACGTGAATTGCGCCATTTGATTCCCATTTGCCGATTGAAGGCTCTCAAACGATGAATATCGGAAGCAAAAATCGATGAATTAATTAAAAGGGAATTGAAACTCAACTGGAGAAAAGAGCCGCCGAAAGAGAAAGAGAAAGAGGCTCTGTTTTTCCCTCTCTCGTGTGTGGAAATGAAATAGAAAGAGTCAGAGAGTGACACCCTCGTCTGATTGTATAATATATAATCTAACGGAAAAAATGATGGGAGTTCGGCAATTAGGATTAAAATATAAACGTGACGATTGGATTCTTATTTGACTTTTAAGCCTTTATTTGACTTTTAAGCCTTTGTATGATACAAAATTGATGAACTCAAAAAAAGGGAAAAAACATTATATAATTTGAATAGCCAATAGGAGGGTAGGTAATGTTAGATGAACACCCGAGATTCCCTAAATTAGCCGATCTGGGATGTGGGACTTTCATTTGGAATCCTTTGTTCTACGTTTGAAGACTCTATTGACATGACTAAGTTTAGGACGACTCTATTGGTATGACTAAGTTTAGGACATGATTCTAATACTATATTAGTCCTTTGTTCCACATCGGAAGATTTTACTGGCATGACTAAGTTTAGAGACTTTCATTTAGTTTAGGACATGACTCTAATACTATATTAGTCCTTTGTTTGACATCTGAAGATTTTACTGGCATGACTAAGTTTAGAGACTTTCAATCCTTGTTCCACATCTGAAGATTTGACTGGCATGACTAAGTTTAGAGACTTTCATTTGGAGTCTTTTGTTCAACATTTGAAGATTCTATTCGCATGACTAAGTTTAGGACATGACTCTAATACTATATTAGATGAATACGACTTTCTATGATATTATCCACTTTGAGTACAAGCTCTCGTGGTTTTGCTTTGAACTTTCCCAAAAGGTTTCACACCATGTAGATAGTATTCTTTGATTATAAATTCATGATCATTCTCTACATCAGTCGATGTGGGACTTCCAACGAGTAATACCTTTAAGTTAGATTGAAATTTACTCTTTATTTGATTCGATAAATATTAATCCTTCCAAGATTGAGAATAAAAATGAGCTGTTAATTACCTTTTTCTTATAGATAAATATAATTAAATATTAATAGTATTGTCTATATTAAATTTTAGGAAAAATGTCCATTTATACCTGTACATTTTGGAAATTGTGTGAATTATATATTAAAAATAATAATTATATTAATATAAATTCAAAAATATTATAAATGAATCAATTTAGATTATTTGTTATTGAGTATAAAACTCGACTCAATCATTTAAATAAAATTATCCATTTAAAAAAATTATTTTATAGTTCTTTTTATTGAATTTTTATTCTGGACGGCATGAAGTTTAATGCGTCTATAGCACCTACCCTATTCATAAATATATTTAGGATTAATTAATTGGTATTTTATAAATCCAAAAAAAAAAATCATTTTTTATGCCAATTTCAATACTACCAATGTACTAAATAAACAATCAACAACAAAATTGATGTATTTTTTAAAAAAATTTAAATTAATTAATCATGTAATTTGTTTTATCTTTATTAGATTAAATGAGATAAAGGTGATAATAATTTTTAGGTTTATTTTCCTTTAATATAAATTTAAATTTTGGTAGTTTCTACTTGACTTATTCCAAGCCAAAACTAAGTTTGTATGGGTCAAGACAACAACCCTACATAGGATGATTTAAAATTGCTTTAATTGATCCCTCATGTTCTATACAGCTACAACAAATTGAGCACCAAAACTAATTATAGGCATTAGTTATCATCAAAACATCAAGATCATAACCTAAACTAAGAACTAATTTTAGCAGAGGCAGAGAAGGAAGAAGGCCATGGATAGATAGATAGTGACCATCTCACATACTTCCTGGGCCTCAATGTTTAGAACAAATATGTGAATTCCATGTATCCACATGCAGCTGCTGCCTTCATTCCAAAGCCTCAATATTTGGGCATGTGCGTGTAGGAAGGGAAGGCCGACCACTACATAAGCTAAAAGACAACGACTACAAGCAAAATCGGAAGCCACTCACCAGAAAATTTCAGCTTGCTGACATTAAGTTCCTTATGATGTTTCGGCTGATTCTTGGAAAGCTAGGACTTCACCTATGCTAAAAGACAACGACTACCAGCAAAACCGGAAGCCACTCACCAGAAAATTTCAGCTTGCTGACATTAAGTTCCTTATGATGTTTAGGCTGATCCTTGGAAAGCTAGGACTTCACCTGACAGAAGAAGATTGTATTAATTCATTAATTCCATAAAAACTACATTATGAACCATGAGACCGATATATTATAGAAAAATCGAACGTTTCTTTCTCTAACGAGAAGGAAACTTTTTTTTTTTTTTTTTTGATGATTGACAATTTCATTGATGATTGAAATTTACAAAAGGGATGAATAATCCAAGGTGTTTACAAAAGACCTTCCCAATTTACAAGGAGGGAGTTATAACTATAGGGAGTAAAATATTAGACACTTTACACCAGAATATCAGTTGGTAAACAACCTTGTTGAAAAGTTTTGTGTAGGTCCGTGTCTTTTCTGCCAATATTCTCTAATTTCTTTCTTTTCACAGATTCCAAAAGAAAGTCATGATGAGGTTTTTTTTATAGTAGGGCTTTTGCATTCTTGAAAGGGTGGTACATTAAGGCCATATCTTCAAGGAAACAACAAATTTTCACCCAACCACCAAGCCATTACAGCAGAAAATAGGTAGATATTTCACATTTGAGTAAGATCAAGAAGGTTACCAATGGACAATTGCCGATAAATCCACTTTGATAACTTCCAGGAGCAAGATAATTAAGTCTGTCCTCTCTGGTGCTAGCAAGACAAAAGTACTCCCATGATTCAAAATGTGCTAGATCAACAGGATTCTCAACTGGTTGAACGCCACTGTGAGGCCAATGGAGCTCATCTAGATTTCAGCTTGCCCTTGAGTTCTCTTAACTCCTCTTCTTGTTGCTAGAAGTAAAAAGAACAAATACAAGTTAAGAAAAGATACCAACTTCAATGATAACATTGCATCATTTAAGTTCAATATATAGAAATTTAAACCTTAAACAACTTTCTGCAGGCGCGTTCTGATCTTTCTTGTAGTAAACACCATTCCATGGCCATGTCGTATTCTACTGTGTTCGGCTGAGAACAATGCGAAGTTGATACAGCTTCTTTCTGGGCAGTAACCAAAAATCAGTGAATAGATGAAGAAATGGGGGAATGAATAGGCATGGTCTTAAATAGTGTAATCGGTGTATTTCAGAGAAGAGGCACACATTACCATCTCACGTTGCATTAGATGTCTAAGCTTATCAATACTGTGATGCCCAAAAAAAATTTGTTTCTTTGACGGAAGTTGAGGAATTGCAAAGCTACCAACAAGAGCTCTGAGAAAATTCAAGGGAAAAAACTTAGCTGGAAAAGCTAGATAACACACCTTTTGAGCTATTTTTACAGCTTAATTGATGATAGACTTGATAATTTTCAGGCTATTTCCCCACATATCTCTGTTCATATCGAAGTAATTGGACGATTTAAATAAAACAAGAGATTTTAAGGAATGCACCAAAATTGATGACCAGTAATGGAAAATGTGTCGAACTAAAATGAGAAAAGTAAATGGGGAAGACAAGTATCAAAATAGTTACTGCCGCTATGAAATCAGAAACCGCCATCTTATGACAAATCAAGACCCGAAACCGGCATGTTAAACTAGTCCAGAGGGCCAGATCCAAATGCTTTCGAACAATAACACTCACTATTTAATGAGAAAGACCTTAGAAGAAAGGAGATGAGCTGAAAGTAAGAGCAGTAAAGACTATATTGAATCCAAGCTTACCTCCCATTTGCAAGTAATAAGCAACCTTCATCTAATTTTCTAACCACTTTCTCTGCTGCTTCCTTAGTTTTGAATACAACATGAGCTTGACCTACAAAAAATGGGCAGCAGAATTCTCAAGGAACTCAAAACAACAATAATAGAATTCAAAAGCACAGGGTCGTTTTATCGATAATATGGAATATGAGTTGGGAAAATGTCCTAAACTCATACCTATGTGAGGCATAGAAATTGCAGTACGCTGAATCATCTTAGCTGTGCAACTCTCGTTGAAGGCATGCCAGACAATATCCTGGAATGTTGTACAGAAATAACAAGAGGGGATATCTTACTACCATATAAAGTAGGTTTCATTTATGGTAATTAAACTGGTCTAAAATTTAAATAATAGGGTAAGATACACTTTTGGTACCTAAAATTTGGGATTAGTACCTACTTGAACCCTGATGTTTATAAGGGATACTTGATCCCTGATATTTTTTAATTATGTACTGTTTTTTTTCCTAGTGTGGCTTTTTCTCTCTCCCTTCCCCTACTTCTCCCTTGACCATCGCCGATCTCGCATTCTAGTAGTTGTTCCACTGTTCGTCTCCTCACCCATTTAAATACGCCACACTAGCTTTTTGTTAGTCAACTAAAGATCAAATTTAGTTTAGAGACCGTTTAGAACTATTTTTCAAAACTCAGGGGCTCAAGTGTTTATTTTGAAACCTCAGGGACCAAAAGTGTATTTTTTTACCGAACAACAATACAATGCAGGAGCACGTCACATCAAATAATCAAAGCAAAAAATTGATTTATTACCTCCACTTCACCTGAAGTGTAAGCAGGATCCAAATTCTGAATTAGAACAAGTGTTCCTTGCTCATATGCATCTTTTATTCTTTCTTCCCACGGCTGGCATAGAGATGATCAGTTTAATTGGTTTAGAATAATTACATCAAACCTTAGAAAGAGCAAGATAACAACATCGCAAAAACGGGCCACGTAAATGGGATCTAGTTTTAGGTACAAAACAAGAAACTTTCATCAATCAATACAGTGAAAAGAAATACAAAAATGAGAGGAAAGCATCAACCGACCTAATGGAAGATTACAAAAAGTTCGGCCAGTTATGATCACAAAAAAGAGGTTGTAATTAGCATCAGCCACCGAATAAGAGCTACAAAAATCTATCCATGATGACTCCTTTTTGGATATTACGGAGGTCCAACCTTTTCTTTCAACACCTTCTGGTTAAGGGACCTTGTTTCTTCTTACCTTTGTGAATATTTATAGTTTACCATTTTAGCAAGAAAACCTTCCATGTTTTGAAGACTTCCCTCCCCAAGAACACACGATCATTACTTTTCAACTGTCTAGAGAATTTATGATTAAGTGGAATGTTGATGAGAGTGACAGAGCAACTACCAAACCAAAGGAAAATGTAATATCCCATTTCATTTTGAGATCTTAGATCTTCTTGCTCTAAATCTCGGTTCTAGTTTTGCACAGAGAATCTTACTCAATTTGTACGGTATCACTCTTATAGTTCTTGCCACCTTTTCACATCCTTCAAATCACCGGTCTTCTCAACCTTCATTCTCCTTACTTCTCTGAAATCTTTTTTGTGCTCCTCATTAAAAAGAAAAGGAAGTAGAGGCCTAGAATCATGGCTATTTAAACTCCAAATTGGAAATAAATAGAATAACTAAATAAATGTTTAGAAACAGCGGTAAAGACAAACGGATCCCTTAGATTGACGTGCAGTTAAACAAATACTAATGTAAAATAAAAGAACCTGACATTAACAACATGAATAACTAAAATGATACGCGACCAAAGAGTGAAAGATTGACTTACCAGTCCCTTGAACCATCTGCTTCTATCCTGTCCAATTGTTGAAAATCATAACAATCAGAACCTTAAAATCAATCTCAATAGAATTTTTGTATCAAAATAAACAAGAAGATATATCGGGCCATAGTAAAAGATCCATTTTCCACTACAGTTCCATACTATTCCATACTAAATAAGCGTGGAACTTTTGATAATATGGAACTGTATCAAGTAAAACTTAAAATGGGTTGGACAAGGGAGACCTGAGAATTAATTCCAGTAATGACTAACAACTAACATGACGCAAATGCAGTGCTTCATTTCATGAACAAAAAAATATTTGTGCAAGCAATAAGAAACTGATTAAAGTAAATATTAAGTGTGTCATCATACTCCACATCTGTTAATTCTATAGGTCAAACAACCAAACGAATTATACTATTTTATGTTTTCCGATTTTAATGAGAAACTTAGCGTAGTTGAGAGAAATATACAATAGCATAAAAATAAAAAACCACCAACAGAAGTAGCTAATAGTAAATAGCAAAACGACAATACTAGAAATACAACTTACAGCATCTGGCCTTCTAGTAACTTCCACAATTTCACCATCTATTTTGCAGTCTGTAACTGAAGATATTTGGGAAGAGGCCTTTAGGTTCTTGCCATTAGAAACCTTTGTTGGCTTCTCATCTAGCTTGGGCTTCTTTATAAGGCTATCTTTGGTTTCATGATAATCTTTGGTCTCAGAAACAAGAACCTTAGGTGGGGAAGCCAGTGTATCGCCATTTTTGCAATTGAGGGCAAGCCCTTCAATGTCACTCTTGGTCTTTCCATGAGATAATTGAACAGAACTATCTAGTTTTGCCTTCTTTGCTGACCTATGTTCATCTTCAGCAGAGGCCCTGGGGCTTTTAACTCTACCGTCAGCATCCTTAGCTCGAGCTTCAACACCTTTACCGTGTATCTCATTAGAATCAATTTCAGGCTTCGAAGATACCTTATCATCTAAGATGTTTTCTTGTTTACTACTAGTTCTAGCCATTCCATTTCCCCCATCAATCACACATACACCAGACCTCTCTCCATTGGAGGATTTCTCAATAGGCTCCTCCAACTCAACATTTGCCTTTGTGGGCGTCTTGAAAGAGTTTTCGGTAGTCTCCAAAGTTAGTTCCCCACTGGAAGTATTACGTCCAGAAGGATCTTCTGATTCAGTATTTACAATTGCAATGACACTTGCATCTTTCCCATCCGTATCGGTCCTCGTAACATCTTTTGACGTATCTAATCTATTAAGTAAAAATTTAACTGCGATGGAAAAAGAAACACTCAGTTTTGATATCCCATTGTAACAAATCAGCCAAAGGTCAAACTATTGAGAAATTGTTATGAAAAACTGAACTCGAACCTTCTACTCCAGCAATTTTTGCACACATCTCATTGCAGACCTCTTGTTTTCCAACATCAAATGTACGAAAAAATACAAAATCAGCCTTTTCGAGTTCTTCATCTGAAGGTCGTGGATTTCTGCTGTCATCTGAAATGCAGATAACGTTGCACTTTCCAGCAATTGCTTCCTGGTTTGAGACACAAAATATACGGAAATGAGTTGTTAAAAAGAAATTAACAGTCTCACTCACACACACACACACACACAATGAATTCCTTCAATCGTTTTTTTTTTTTCCTTTCTTTCTTTTGAATGAAGAAACAAACCCATTGATATAAAACCAGTATTTTCAAAGTGCAAGACAGCCCCATTTCAGTAAGTCTCTTAATTTCCTTAAATCAAGAGGTGACAAAAAGGCATTGCTAACATATCCATGTCCTCGTTAACCATCACTAGAATAGACTTCAATTCTTTCTTTACTTCCTTGTTTCATAATTGTTACCAATGACTTGCAATTAACAAGTGAACTTGTTGGACAAACAAGGTAAAAGAATCAAAGTGAACTTGTTGAAAGAGTACATTTGCCACGAAACGGTAAAGTTACAAGCTAAAAATTACCAGAGGATTAATATTGGCAAGGCCAACACCATCACCAGATGCCAAAAATAATTCATCTTCCCGTGTGTCTTCTGCTCCAAGATAATTACGAATCTCACAAGACCGAAAAAACCAAAGAATTTTTACTTTCTTTGTCTTATCAGGATTCTGCCAGATTTTAAGAATTTTGCCAATATAAGGCTCTGGTTCACCTTCCTTATATAGGTAGACAGAATCATAAAGAAAATATTCTACACCGTCGTAAGTAAACGATTCATAAAAGGTCACGTCCTTCTTCTTCCCACCAATCCCTTTCCTTTTGCCCCATTGAAATTCAATATTCTCCAATTGCTCTATCTCTACCATAATACCAATGCGGGCCTCCACAATAAGAAATGCAGCTGGAACAAAAGACAGTAACACATTATTTGATAGCTTCAAAAAATGTAACAGGAATGTCAAGAAAAGAAATCAAAAGAACAAATTTGCAAGAACAAAAAAAAAAAAAAAAAAAAAAAAAAACTTCAACTTCAATTTTGTT